CAAACGTGTTATTATTGTTTTCCGAATGAGATAGTAACAAGAATAGAAACCTGGGTGTTTACCTGAGAAATAACCTTTTGTTCAGGTGATTTCAAGACTTCAAATATAGTCTAATTCAGTCGGTATATCTTCATTTGGTTTGATTTCATACCAAAGAATAAAACCTTTAATTAATTCTCACTGGCATTCAACAGCTGCATTGAACACGTCATATAGGCATAATTATGTACAACATGTGTTCCAAACAAATTCTTATATCAGACTATTTGTTAATAACAGCCACTTGAAGGTGTTAGCTAAATTACGGGTTTCATGTCCACCCCAATAAATACTGAAGTTGGTAAACATTTTGCAGACAAGTGACTTGAAATGCTATGTGACTCTCGTGTAAATGGCTATAATGAATATTAATATTATTTTATTTTAATCTGTACAAACTTTAGCACGTACTGAAAAATACCCTGTTAATTCCGTGTATAAATTAATCCATCTGAGAGTACCTTCCTCTAATGGAGTCTCCAATGCACAGGTCATTTAGTCTCGATCATGCATTCGCGTATTACTTAGCAAATATACTGCTACAATCTATGTAAATTATGGTTATGAGTTATTGTGCTGCTTTAAGATCAATAAAAAAAAATGATTTATGTCTCTACAAGTCTTTTTCTCAACATTATTCATGAATTCATTCGTAAATACAATGGTACGATCTATATAAATTTTGTTCTCTATTTTTCTTTTTGTGCAGATTTGAAATCAATAAAATTCTGTTCTGTTTTTATCTTAACGGAAATTGATTATAAGCTGTGTAGCGAATAGTGCAAATTAATTTAGATTATGTAGATACTCACGTAACTATTATTAAGAATTTCTCAAATGATATTATTGAAAATTAGGTGATTTCAAATATATAAATCGATGTGATTAAGAAATTCGAATAATGCAGTCAAAATAAATGTGTTCTTTAATTAAAAGGAAGGGTTACATTCGTTTACAATATCCAATATAACTATTTCGACACAAACATAAAATGGTAAATGTTATATAATTCGTAAATCCTGCTCAACACTATTGCAATGAACTAGATATATAGCCAAGATGAGACTTTGCGAGAAGAGTAGACAGGTATACACGTGCATAAAGGCATACCTAGGTTATTTTAGGTTAACGACACCAGCAAAATTTTTGTAGTGTCCACCCTCATTGCTTCTTCAGGTGATTCCAAGACGTCAAGTATAGTCTAAATCAGTCGGTATACCTTCATTTGATTTGATTTCATAGCAAAGAAGAAAACCTTTATTTAATTCTAACTGGCATTCATGCTGCATTCAACACGTCATATATACCTATGTTCGAAACCAATTCCTATCTCGGACTATTTATTAAAAACAGCCACTAGAAGGTATTAGCTAAATTACGGGTTTCATGTCCATCCCAATAAATAATGAAGTTGGTAGAAATGTAGCAAACAAGTCACTTGAAAGGCTATGTGACTTGAAAGGCTATGAGACTTGAAAGGCTATGTAACTTTAAAGGCTATGTGACATGAAATGCTATGTGACTTTAAAGGCTATGTGTTTCTTGTGTAAATGATAGGACTGGATATTAATATTACTTTATTTTAATCTATAAAAACTTTAGCACGTACTGAAAAATACCCTTTTAATTCTGTGTATAAATTAATCCATCTCAGGGTACATTCCTCTAATAAAGTCTCCAATACACAGGACATTTAGTCTCCACCAAGCATTCGCGTATTCATTAGTAAATACACTGCTACAATCTATGTCAATTTTGGTTACTTACTATGAGTTATTTTGCTGCTTTAAGATCAACAAAAAAAGGATTTATGTCCCTACGAGTCTTTTTCTCAACATTATTCATGTATTGATTTGTAAATACAATGGTACGATCTATATAAATTTTGTTCTCTGTTTTTTTTTTTGCAGATTTCAAATCAATAAAATTCTGTTCTGTTTTTATCTTAATTGACATTGATTATAAGCTGTGTAGCAAATAACACAAATAAATTTAAATGATATAGATACTCTTGTAACTATTATTACAACTTTCCCAAATTATATTATTGATGAGACGGTGCTCTGAAATATATATACTGATTTCATAATGAACTTCGAATAATACACTCAAAATAATAGTTTGCATTAATTAAAAGGAAGGGTTACATTAGTTTAAATATGCAATATAGCTATTTTGGCACAAGCATAAAATGACAAATGTTATATAATTCGTAAATCCTGGCTCTACACTATTGCAATGTACTAGATAGATAGCCAGGATGGGACTTTGATAGACAAGTAGACAGGTATACACGTGCATAAATGCATATCTAGGACCTGATGTATATAAAGATCTACACATATGTACGTTTGTATATGTACAAATGTGTACAGTGTTTTGGGGTCTCGTTATGGAAACGAACATGTATAAAATGGTTTAGAAAACTTTCTTTCTGAAATTTACATTCATCTTGTTTTGAAAGTCTGGCACCTTGATTTAACTTATATTAGAATTCTAAATTAACAAGTTTTCCTTCAAATAATGTCTAAGGAATAGATCTTTGTGTTTGAGTAATAAACTGAGTGGGTTGGGTTGAATCTTTCATGAAAGGTAGAGGGAAAGAGAAATGGATGAAAATTTAATGCAAATGCGGTGAATATGCAAATAGAAAATATAGATTTAGAGAGAAATAGGAATATTATCGTTTGCATACACATTGTTATCATATATATTAAGCTAAATTCTCGTTCAAAAAAAAGAAGTAAAACAAAATTTTCTTTCGTTCTGAAAACAATTCTTGGAGATGTGTTATATCAAAGATATTCCTCAATTCCGAGGCAATGACGTAGCTGGGCCTATGGTTGTGTTTGATCCACTTATAAATGGCAAGACCTTCTTTGGATCAGAAGGTTGATTTGTTAAAAATGAAATTCCTGTTTATTGCTCAGCTTGTGCAATTACTAGCGATATGGAAATAATAATCAGACAATTATTCACATAGCTGACACACCATGTGGTCAGACGTGTGAGGAGATCTCTTTTGCTATATTATTCATCATTGAAACTATTTTGTTCACAACGATTTTGTTTACTGCTCATCTTCTTCATTCTAATCAGACGATTGTCCTGAGATATCCAGTTCGTTACAACACATTTTGATAGAATTTGATAGAAATTAAAGCTACTAATGTGCTTATACTTATTTGTTAAAAGTGGCATCCCGATGAGAAAATGGAACCAACTGAATTACCCGCTGGTAGCTTGCTATCCAATTATGTTTCATATGTATAGACAGGAAATTATTAGTCTTGTCTATGGCTCTACTTTGGATAGTCATTTAGGATTCAGTAAGCCTTATTACTTGATCTTGAATCCTTTTTCAGTGATCGATAATTAAACTTAATGTTTAAAAATACCTGTTATCTTAGCAAACAGGTCAATTGTTACCAAAACCTAGTCAGAATCTAACCATTGATGAATAATTGAGAAACCCAGTTATATACTGTGAAGGTTTCCTACATAATATTAAGTCTAAGAAATTAAGGTATGATAGAAATACAAAGGAAAGATTTTTCAATCTGTTCATAACAAATTTGACTCTCTTGATCTTTCCTTAAAATCCCCTTCAGGTGAATAATTATTGTATAAATACGGTTATAAAGAAACTGACGTTAATTACACCATTCATAGTACTGAGATGTTAATATGTTAAATGAATATGATGATAGAGATGGTTCTGATAGTCATTTTGTTAATTTGTACGCATCTGTCACTTACTGGGGAATTAACCGATGGGATGAAATTGGACTGGATTGAATTTGAGGTAACGTATCTTACAAATTCAGAAATATTGAATGATCAAGACCAAACACATTCACATTACAGCACTAGAAAAGAATAACTAAAAAGGGTATTACTTGAATATAAGCACTTCTTTCCAACGTTCCAATAGGGGCATATAAAAGTCTACTATGCCGTTGAAATTATAGGCAGCACAACTGGAAACAGCATCTATACATATATGGTGAACCCTCTCAAACATGAATGTTTGATGCAAGGTGATTTCATATTTGCTGGACAACGATTTTATTAAAGCAAGGAAACGTCAAAGGAATACACCATTTATCATTATGACAAAACAAGATAATTCTGTCAGCATCTGCACTGACTATTGGAAAGTGAACGGAACGAACAAAACCATTGCTAAGAATCAAAAACTGCATTGACTAAATCGAAAATGCAGAACATTTCTCCAAATTTCGTTTGACTTTTGGAAAGAATTCAAATTCCAATCTCGGAGGTGGTAAGAAAATGTCGACATTCGTAGCTCAAAATTAAAGTTATCAACGTACAATTATAACATTTGTAATAAAAGGCTCGACTTGTACTTTCCAAAGTTCATTGGACATGTTAGCATCTAGTCTGGATAATTGTGACGCTAACATCGACGTTATCATCATCTACAACATCAGAGGACAACATCACTTGGAAATCATCCAGAGTTCCTTTGATATACCCAGGAATGAGAATTTGACAATTAGTTTAACCAAAATTAAGTTTTGTCTTAGATGTTTTCTGTTTTTAGCACATATTGTGGGAAACAGTCTAGTTACACCTATTTACACCTATTAGTGAACAAAAAAGTATGAGATTTTTGCGCATGGATCCTGCATTTTCTACTTCATCATAACCTTTTATATCAATGTTATTTAGCTGAAAAATTCGTCATCCCTGTCTTAACATCACAAGACGATTCAGCATTAGTTTTGTTTCCTTTTTTCCTAGATATAATATATTTATTCAAATTGTTGTTCACTGGAATAACACATTTCGCAAAAATGGTCTTGAAATTAAATATTATTTTGCAATTATAGTGAATTCACACAACGAACCATACTGATTACAATGTAGTGAAATGTGATTATGAGAGTGGTACATTATTGACCTAGCGTAAATACCCTACATATATTTTATTTACCGTTCCGGTGGCCTAGTGGTTAGAGCGACCGCTTCGGAAGCGGGAGGTTGTGAGTTAGATTCACGTTCGAATCATACCAAAGACTTAAAAAAGGTACTAACAGCTGCATCGCTTGACGATCAGCATTAAGAGGTTAGTGTTAGGACTAGTCGGCCTGGTACCAGGGTAATGTGACTGGGTGGGACATAATGCTAAATGTCTGCAGCATGATGCCCCAGTGATAGGCATCACTTTAAACTACCACACTGCAGACACCGTAGCGATATGACTGAAAAATTGTTAAAGCTACGTTAAAAGTCATAAACACCAACACCACCACAACAAAATTGTGATATATAAAAATACAGTGAAGACCTCAAAACATATCTACCACTACATGCTACTGGCACATTAGCTAAATTTGATGTTACACACACTCACACACACACAAACATATTCAGCTTTCAAACTTGTTGTGAGGATGGGAATACCATTACAAAATGTATTGGAACTCCATGTAATGAGACTTGTAATAGACCACACTGAGCCATTATATAATATATAAACAAATATATAACTTCATAAAACTTGCTTCATTTCACATTTCATTTACTCAATGAAATCTAATAGTTTCATAACAATTAGAACAAAAAACACACGCACACGAAAAAACATCCACACACAGAGAAATATATACATACATACATACATACATACATACATACATACATACATACATACATACATACATACATACATACATACATACATACATACATACATACATACATACATACATACATACATACATACATACATACATACATACATGCTTATGTATATGAAAGAATGTGTACGTACGTACTTACATGCATGCATGCATGCATACATACATACATACATACATACATACATACATACATACATACATACATACATACATACATACATACATACATACATACATACATACATACATACATACATACATACATACATACATACATACATACATACATACAGCCACGCAGACAGACAGGCAGACAGACAGACAATCAGATAGACAGACAGTCATACAGACATACATAGCTTGAATAGTTTGTTTTATTCGTTGTGTCAGTAGCTCAAAAATTATATTTCACTTTTTTCTCTATTGGGAATTCATTGCTGTCGAATCGTTTGATTGTTATAAATATTCTCTCAGCTATGGATAAGATGTCCATCTGTTTCCCTAACGTTATGACGTCAGTATCTAAATATATATATACTGCTGGTCAAGCGCATATGAGACAGAGTCGAAGAGGGATAAAATATAACAAATAGAAAGATAATTTCTTGGCGTTTTTCTCAATATTATAGCCAAACGTGTATTTAGGGTGTCAACTTATAGGACATTCGCTAGCAGCGCAACATCAAGTGAAGAAAGAAGGTAAGATCTTATGTTGAAAAATCAATCCATAGGATTATAATCATCTTTTATTTTATTGTGTTGTAGTTACATCAATCAAATAAATTAATATATAGCATTATAAACAAGTATTACGATATGGTTAATGATTGTTTTTTTTTAATGTCAGTGGATACTACCTACTAATCAGTTACTGCAACAAGTCACTTTTTGTCCATTAGCAAGAAACATGATAATCAGCTGTATACGGTCAAGTAATAGATTGACTATTAAAATGGGTCTTGTGCCTCTCAGTATTAGCCCTTTACCGCACATACATACATACATACATACATACATACATACATACATACATACATACATACATACATACATACATACATACATACATACATACATACATACATACATACATACATACATACATACATACATACATACGTACGTACGTACATACATACATACATACATACATCCATACATACATATTTTATTTACATACGGATTGAGTCGGTAGACGTTGAATCAGGACTTTGAAATTCATGTTGACAAGAGAAGGTGACACTTGGAGCGAAAGATACATAAACTGGATAATGTGTGTAATATACAACGTGTTGGGTAATTGAAATAACACACAAAATGAGATGCAGTGAATAATATTGGCTTATTTCTATTTTAGGTCTGAAGAATGATGCACATGTCACTTATATTAATGTCTCTTGTTTCGATGCGCTGTATCCAGTCACAAGGGTCCTTTAATACTACAGAATTAGGTATCCAGTCACAAGGGTCCTTTAATACTAGTATAGTAAATTTCACGTATGCAGACTATATTCATAACTGAACAAATGAAACATGCAAACCGCATAGACAGCAACAACTAAAAGTGTGTTTTATCAGACCTGCGTTCTTCAAACTTTGATAAACACCTATAAACTGTACGAATTGAATCAAAAATTGTAAAGCAATGACATAACTGCACTTAAAATACAGAGTTGTTCATTCGACTATCGACACTATTAAACAAGAATATTTCCACGAAGAATACCATTGCACTAGTAACAGCAACACTTGTAATATTTCCACGAAAGAGAATATGTATTTCCAAGAATAAGATAACGTATCAGTCTCCATCACTGAATATATAGTTTGTACCGTTTTGTGATCTTTACAATATTGTAAACTTTCGTGTCGTTGCATAACATATAACTTTCTTCATGTTAGAAATAACGAAGATTCAAGTTATCAATACATAAGAAATTAATATAATAATCTGTAACTTTGTTTGTAACAATACAAGGAAAGCGCAGTTGCCAGGTTACATTGATTGTCTCTAGCTTAGTATTACCTAGGAAGAATGATAATTTAACCATTTTACTGGGATTACCTTAGCTTGGTGCAAACCCCAATATACTGATTAGAGATTATATTAATCTATTGCTAAAGACTAGTGCAGCACTTCCACTGTAAAACTGACTCTGGTTTCATTGTCATGTTCCTAACCCCAACATCTATTCTCCTAATTTCTATGCCGAAGTTACAGATTAAATGTGAGACCAATAAATTTTTTATACAAGAAGAATTATGAAAATAGTCTGAGCGGGTATCATGACAATGCTAATGAAGAAGATGAAAGTGAGAAGATGAAAAACGACCTTCATTTACTCAGCTACTGCTGCTGCGCTGCTAATATTTAATACTACAACTATAATAATAATAATAATAATAATAATAATAATAATAATAATAATAATAATAATAATAATAATAATAATAATAATAAGTGGAGATGACAACTTGTGTCTGATTACATCAGTAATTAAATGGTGTTCTATATCTGAGCCAATCGTTCTTTACAAATGGCAAATCGTTATTCTTAGGTATGATCTATTGAAGATGGCAAATCTCTACCTAAATATATTATTGCTTAAAGCCAGCAACATGGAACCTGAACAAATCAATGACTGAAGATGATAATTCTTTATCTAAACTATTCATTGACGAAAAATGCTAATTATCTGTCTGAATGCATCATTGACTGATGATTACTATTCTATGTCTCTCACATTATTTTCCTCAACCTCTGAGTTAGTCACGGCATTCCACTTCATCCATCGGAAGTCGTAGTCAGCCCTTGGTTTATTCAAAATAACTATACATTAAAAGAGTAAGAGAGAAAGATTGAAGACAATCATTCTTGAAAAATGAGAGTTAAATTCAATTTGATCTTCGTAATTGGATAATAGGCCATGACGCTTAATTGATCCTTGAATTATGTTCCCAACAGTTTGATCACAAATACTTAATCGATGACATAAAATAACAAGATTTAAGAAAAACTTAATATCTCTGGAAACGCTTATTTTGCCTACACAGTCACCATAGCGCCATATGAAGACGATACTCGACTTACCATAAAAGCTCCTCAGCATCAAGTGGCAAGACAAGATCCCAGACACTGAGGTCCATGTCCAAACACGCTTCCTAGTATCTACACCATTCCTGATGCAGTTGTAAATGCAATGGGCAGACCATGTTAGCGCGCATGCCAGACAAAGAGTCCACAAAATCTCTGAACAAGTAAAACGCAACACACGAGGCGAGATGAAACGATACAAGGACACACCGAAGTGGGCATTGAAGAACATTTTCATGAACAATGACCCGTGGGAGCAGACTACACAGGAAAAGTGTGTGTGGTACGTTTCAACCGAAATAGCTGATGAAGCTTGCGAGGTCAAGAGCAGGAAATCCCAAGCAAGCAACCCACACGATCTGCGTTAGTGCCATCCCATTTCTTCCTTGTCGAAGAACATTCATGGCGCTGATTGGCCAGTTCAGCCACCTGCGCACGCACAAATACTTGGCTTTGTTATAAGAATGATTGTTCGATATACAAACATAGTTGCATTCAGAAAGATACAAGGACTTGTCATCACTTTTTTCTCGGAAATTTCGTTCGTATACGTCGTGCCAGTTTGAAATTTGCATGTGCCCTTATAAGTCTGAGACATTACTTTTGACCAATAAACTGCTGAATGCAAGAATTATTGACTACTAAAACAATGAATCATGGTAAACACTACACAGATTCTTTTATAATACCTCAACCTTTTCCTAATAAAGCCTTAATTTTAAAAGTATACAAATGCATATAAAAGTATATTTCATACATTTGCGTAATTTTGCATTTTTAGAATAATATACAGATATTTCAATCTGGATTGATTTCATGATAGCCAATGAAAAAAACAACCATTTTGAAGAAATGTATTTTGTTAAACAAAAACTAGAATAATATTTTGGAATTGGTTACTTAACCTTATTCTTTACAACCTAAATAATATGTTATTTCCACATTAAATCTAAACACCTATGTTGGTAGCGAATTCGTATTTTCCAATAACAATTATATAAATACAAATGACTATAAATTCTTTAAAACAATTAAAGATTATATTGCATTATAATAAAAAATAGGAAGAACTCAGAAAACTGTTGCTAAAATATGAACTTCAGTTTGAAAATAAATAAAATTAATCTCAATATATTTTCGAGGAAAATTACTTTCAAGATAATTTGATGAAAAACTTTGAATACAATTTAGAGAAAATTTCAGTCTTATTACATTGACACAAAATATACGTCTTTGTATAAATACAGTTAACCGCTGAGTAATATCAATAA